TGTGTGTGTGTGTATATATATATATATATATATATATATATATATAATCTCACATTTTCTTTATCCATCCATCTACTAAAGGGCATCTAGGTTGGTTCTATAGTTTAGCTATTGTGAATTGTGCTGGAATAAACATTAATATGGTTGTGTCCCCATAGTATGTTGTTTTTAAGTCCTTTGTGTGTAGATCAAGGAGAGGGATAGCTAGGTCAAATGGTGGTTCCATTCCAAGATTTCCAAGGAATCCCTGCCACTGCTTTCCAGATTAACTGCACCAACTTGCATTCCACCAGCAATGTATGAGTGTACCTTTTTCCCCACATCCTCACCAACCTTATTGTTGTTTGTGATCTTAATAGCTTCCATCTGACTGGAGTGAGATGAAATCTTAGAGCAGTTTTGATTTTCAGTTCTCTAATTACAAGATTTGTTAAACTTTTTTTATATATTTGTTGATTGATTGTATATCCTCTTCTGAGAAGTGTCTGTTTAGTTCCTTGGTCCATTTATTGATTGGGTTATTTATTTATTTGGTGCTTAGTTTTTTGAGTTCTTTATATATCCTAGAGATTAGTACTGTATCTGATGTGCAAGTGGTAAAAATTTGCTCCCCAAATGTAGGCTCTCTATTCATCTTACTGATTATTTATTTTGCTGAAAAGAAGCTTTTTAGTTTGAATTCATTCCATTCATTGATTCTTGATTTGAATTCTTGTTCTATAAGAGTCTTATTAAGGAAGTTGACATGATGAAGAATTGGGGCTACTTTTTTTTCCCTATTAGATGCAGGGTCCCTGATTTAATTACTAGGTCCTTGATCCTCTTTGAGTTGAGTTTTGTGCATGGTGAGAGATAGGAATTTAATTTCATTTTGTTGCATGTGGATTTCCAGTTTTCCCAGCATCATTTGTTGAAGAGGCTATCTTTTCACTAATGCATATTTTAATGCCTTTGTCTAATATAAGATAATTATCATTTTGTGCTTTAGTATCTGTGTCCTCTATTCTGTACCATTGGTCCACCAGTCTATTTTGGTGCCAATACCATGCTGTTTTTGTTACTATTGCTCTCTAGTATAGTTTTAAGTTCTGGTATAGGGATTCCACCTGCTTCATTCTTCCTGCTAAGGATTGCTTTAACTATTCTGGGTCTCTTATTTTTCCAGATGAATTTCATGATTGTTTTTTCTAGTTCTATGAGGAATGTCATTGAGATTTTGATTGGAATTGCATTAAATCTGTATAGTGCTTTTGGTAGTATGGTCATTTTGACAATATTAATTCTGCCTATCAAAGAACAAGGGAAATCTTTCCATCTTTAATTTCTTTCTTTAGCATCCTGTAGTTTTTCATTAAGTTGATTCCCAAGTATTTTTTTGAGGCTATTATAAATGGGATAGTTTTTCTCATTTCCCTTTCAGAGTATTTGTCACTGATATACAGATATGCCTTTCATTTATGGTGTTGATTTTATATCCTGGTACTTGGCTAAATTCATTTACTAGTTCTAGAAGTTTTCTGATGGAATTTTTTGCATCTTCTAGATATGGAATCATATTGTCAGCAAATAGTGCTAATTTGAGTTCTTCTTTTCCTAATCATAGCCTTTTAATTTCTTTCATCTGTCTAATTGCTCTGGCCAGTGTTTCAAGAACTATGTTCAATAGAAGTGGTGAAAGAGGGCATCCTTGTCTTGTTCCAGTTTTTAGAGGGAATGCTTTCAATTTTTCTCCATTTA